GAATTCCCTCCATCAATAATTCTCTTTTTAGTAAATGAGAATCTGTCAAATACCTACGTTGCATGGATTTTTATTTGTTTACTTTGTGCTTAAATAATCGTGCTTCTTAAACCTCTGTCACCATCCCTACCCAATCCCATCCCTCTTTCATAAAAAGGCCTCTTTCGTGACTGCCTGGAGGAGACATTTATCCCTTTTATTATTAATCTACATTCTGGCTCAAACCTGTCATCTTTTTACGCATAATTCAGTCGAGTAAAGTAATTTATTAATTGATCCTTCAATTGCCTTCACATCCGAGTGGGATGATGAGACTAGACTGTGTTACAGCGAATTCAGTAATTTAGTAAATTCGTTGGCTTATGCAAGCATCTTTCGATTAATCGAATAAATACGTCGATTTTCAAATTATAACATTTACAAAAAAAAGAGTTTAGCTGATAAATGATGATATTATAATAACGTGCATTGGCCAATAACTGCGTACATTTACTGAACTTGAAACTTTTCCTGTAACACACACGCTAACGTATACAGCACTATCGCTTTTTCCGCAACACCGACTAATGTGTATTAGAATTTATATAAGACAGAGTGAATACACAAATGATTCGAAAGACCCACAGAAGTGAATGTGACGCATAAATATATATGTATATTATGTGTGTAAACGTTAAACGTCGTACGCGTCTAAAACACATTTGTACCGAAAATATGATTACGTTCTCTGAGGCATTTAATAAATGAGTAAGGTATCCCGTGGTTCGCCCCTTGCGTACACCTATAGTATAACTATAAAGTGGTCGATCATATATACATCGCTTTTAACGCTTGAACGAGATATGTTACATGTACATATATATAACCGGCAACCAATGCACTTTGTTACGCATTTATCGCAATCGCATCGTACATACCGCCTTGTGAACACACAGGGTTGAGCTGCACAAATTGCATGGAGTTATTTACGATTTTTGTTTCACCTGAGAGAGACTCCTCCGGCTGCTCAGGAAAGAAGAACACGATTCTACTGCCTGATAGGAGTTTTTCGGTTATGTGCAGGAAATGATCGATTGGATGTCTTACCTGTCGGTCGTATCGACGCTCAGCTTCGTCGTGTTTTTCGCCGTCGGCCCCGGCTCGATACCGTGGATGATCACGGCCGAATTGTTCTCGCAAGGTCCTAGACCCGCTGCCATGTCTATCGCGGTCCTCGTCAATTGGATGGCTAATTTTTTGGTTGGCATCGGTTTTCCAAGTCTGAAGGTATGCTTTCTTCAACAACGATTAGTAAAAACTCTTTCCCTCTTGCCGTTGTCACACGACAGACGAATCGATCGTATTTCTTGTACAATTCACGATGTTACAGATTTATTAATAACAACGAAAAATCGTGGAGAACAATTCGAGAATGAGACGATTTGGTAGACATACGCTTATCTGTTTGTCCTTACGTGTTACAGACTTTGCTCGAAAACTACACGTTCCTACCATTCAGTGCATTCCTAGCCATCTTCTGGATCTTCACGTACAAGAAGGTTCCTGAGACCAAGAATAAAACGTTCGAAGAAATTCTAGCTTTATTCAGGCATGGTAACGACAGGTACGCAATAAACAAGCCACTTAATACCATCCCTAATACGTATAGCAAGTCATTAGATAGATAATCTTCAGTTCTGCTGACCCCCCCGTTTTCTTTACTGACTCTTTTGTTATCGATTATAATATACATGATATTCGGTTTCTAATGAGAGCAATTTTAAGACGTGATTCCAGAAGCCAAAATGAGACGAAATTCAGTAATAAAATCACTTCGTCAGTCACAAGCGGTTAAAACGAAGTTACGTCGTATTTGGCCACATTTCACAGGCAGAGTTTACTTAATTTTTAATCACTTGTAATTAACGATTGGACCTCAAATGCTATTTTTTTATTCTCAATTCTCGTCTCATTTTAAATCGCAATCAGTGCTTAAAATTGTTTCGACCGAGGATTGTATATACGCGTACTTTTCTGTTTTGTACTTATATGTATAACGGTTCTAAGAGACAGCTTGTTCACGTTTCGTTTCCGTTCTTAATCCGTCTTCGTGGAAGACGGAAGACTTGGCATATCCGCGTGTCGACGAACACGAGATAAATCGATTAAGTTCACGTTATGGCAAACGATCGTGTCCTGTGCATTCGATGCATGATACGTACATACATGCATACGTAGGCACTTTTTATCATATCCGTCCACGCATCCGCCCGTCTGTATTATACATATTGTACGATAAAAAAAAAGCGTATCAACATACGTAACGAACGAGCTTTCGAGCGCTGACGCGCGTCGAACGGAAGGTGCTGAGAAATTCGAGATTTGTTACTTGCGCCTTGCGACAGGCCAGGGACCGTAGATTCATTCGCAGGAGCGTAGCGTACATCGTGCGAAGCGCAGATTATTTTGTACGATCGAATAGATAGGAGAATATTTTTAACAAAATAGAAGAGAAACCAGTTTCGGCGAGTGCAGCGGTTGTCTTAAAACGTACATCCAATCACGCATACGATATTGCACACTAATAATATACGATATATCGAACACTTAACTGGTCTGTAACAGCTTTTCTCAAGCAATAACTACCATTGACCTCATTATTATTATTATTATTGTTATTACCGTTATCGATATGATTATTATTATTATTATTATATCGAGTAGCACGATTTTTCTAACAGTAGTCTTTACGCGTCACGTAAATGAGTAACGAAGTTGTAAACGGTGTTAATCCTATAATGCACAATAATTACTATCAATTCGTCACTGTACTCATTTCGTAGGACACTGATCGCCGTATAAGTATAGACGCCTGACCGAGGCTCTAATACGAATAGCTGTGATAAAGTTTCAATTCTCGATAGCAAGCACAGAGACAACGTTTTCATAAATATATATGATCACACCATTTCACTTGATTAACTGTATTCAGACATTTTTCGAAATTAAATCTTGTGTATTACCGTTCGAAGACTTGGAGATTGCATATCTGGAAGCTCACCAAAAGGGAACAAGAGTATACATATGTACATGTGAAAACTAATATCGAAATTCGATTTTTTTAATGAGACTTGATTCTATATCAGTCTAGTAGAGTAGAAAATGATCAGCTGCAGTACTTGAGATTACTATGTGTACAACGTCGTGAAGCGGTCATGGTGATTCTCGCATGATTGTATAGTGAAGGATTTATTATCCGTACTTATGATAGTGCCTAAATACTAAATACATCGCCGATAGGAAATTTTCGGTAGACCGAAGGGAGACTTTCTTGTAACATGCAGAAGGTACAACATCGTTTTCGTAGATTCGCGAACACCCGAATTATGGATGTGTTGGATAAAAAAATTCTTTTTCTCATTGATCAGCGTAATCTAATTTTTGATTGCTTTAAAGGGAAGTGAGTCGACGTTTGCATCGCCGAAGCTACGACCGTTTGTTTTACCTTCGTGTTTGTGATTTATTTAAGGATGTATAGGCTATATACTTAAACAATGCTAACATGTTGAATTTGTTATTATAGATTCCTATTACTATTAACAAG